ACATGTGGGCCCTGGGCTGCATCTTCGCCGAGCTCCTGAGCCTGCGCCCCATATTCAAGGGCGAGGAGGCCAAGATGGACAGCAAGAAGACGGTGCCCTTCCAGCGGAACCAGATGCAGAAGATCGTCGACATCATGGGCCTGCCCACCAAGGAGCGCTGGCCGCTGCTCGTGCACATGCCCGAGTACCCCTCGCTGCAGCAGCTCCAGCCACCCCTCGCCCACGGAAGCGGCGGAAGCGGCGGAAGCGGCGGCGGCGGCGGCGGCAGCAGGCACGGGGGCCACCACGGCGGACACGGGCACGGGCACGGACACGGGCACGGACACGGCCATCACAACCACCACGCCCAGCAACAGCAACAACAGCAGCAACAACAGCAGCAGCAGCAGCAGCAGCCGGCGGGCAGCCAGCTGGAGCGGTGGTACAACAGCACGATCAACACGTCGACGGGGACGAGCAACCCGGCGCCCAACGGCGGGCCCAGCAGCCTGGCCAGCCTGGGGCAGGAGGGCTACAGGCTGCTGGCCGGGCTGCTCGAGTACGACCCGGAGAGGCGGCTCACGGCCGCGCAGGCCCTGCAGCACCCCTTCTTCACGACGGGCCCGGACAGGGTCAGCGCCAACTGCTTCGAGGGGCTCAAGGTCGAGTACCCGCACCGGAGGGTGAGCCAGGACGACAACGACATCCGGACGAGCAGCCTGCCCGGTACGAAGAGGAGCGGGCTGCCGGATGATTCGTTGGTCAGGCCGGGTAAGAGGGTTAAGGAGGGCTAGATTTGGGGTGTCTTTTTTTCTCCTTTTCCTTCACAAGGGTCGAATGGATGGTGGATGCATGGATAGGAGAAAGGCACCAACCAGCAACTGCTTCAGGGTGTGTGACCTGACCTGGAGCAGTTGAGTTGGGAAACAACGCAGCCAGCCCTTGAGGCTATGCCAGGCCAGGCCAGGCCAGGCCAGGCCACTCCGCTCGAACGAGGGGGGCAAAGCCAGGTTTTTTTGTTTTGTTTTCATTTGTCTGTCTCCGGAAACGGGGAGGTCACCAACTCCATCATGGTTTCCCACTAATAACCCAAGGGTCTCGGTACCGGTTATTCTGCATACAAGTAGAGATGAGAAGCATGGCGTTTTGGGGTTAAATATATAAATAGACAAGCACTTCGGCGGTGCGAATTCGAAGGTCTTGCTGCATCACGCAGACAACAAACACATTGCCTGCAAAGGTAGCATGAGGGAGGGAGGAAAGAAAGGATGGAACCAGCAGCATGTTTAAGAGACGTGTGATGAGGGATAGGACCAGTCCAGTCCATCCCATACTCAATGATTAACTCTATGGACAGTCCAGACCTGCCACTTTTCCCCCAATAGCCTTTACCTGCCCGCCTACCTACTACCTGCTTTACCTACCTACCTAGGTACCCTGGTGGATCGGCGTGATGCTCACCAGCAGTGCTGCCACATACATATATGTAGCAAACACCCGGAATACGCCCTCCATCCACTCTGTCCTTGATCCTTGGGTTTACCCCCACCCTCGCCGTCACCCCAACCATAACCATCCACATCTTCCGGATCTCTGGAAAAAGGCAGAATACTAGATCCTCCATCATTCTCACTTCGCTGGGTATCCCTTTCTGAAAGCAGAAAATAGAGAAGAAGCGCCAAAACAAAACAAGACAAAGTAACGGGGAATTACATGACAGTACAGAAAAAGGAAATTAGAAGGGGTGAGGGGGAGTCGTCAAAACGTAGTAGCATGATACGCTGAGAGGAAGGGTGCGAAACAAAAACCGTGAGGGAGGATTATAGAGACCGCAGGCTGTGGTCCTGGGCCCCTTTTGTAAGCCGTGTCTCGACAAGCATGTCGTGGAGTACTCCTGGCTGGTGCTCCGTCGGGGTGTGTTCTCAGCCACTAGTACACCCGAGCCCCCTCCTCCCCTTGGTTATTCTTTCTATTACTCTTTTCCTTCTTTGTTTCCGCATCCACCTCTCGAGTGTGGCTGTGCGTGTCTGTTGCCATGGACTCTGGTGCATCTAACCCACTGGCTGGTATTAATGCCTTGTAGGCACATGGCGCCCACCAGGCTGTCTCATCCCCGTACGACAAGAGCTCCCGCAAAGGGTGGTCGCAGCCTACTGCTCCACAGCCTCCTAGAAGTCCTATTTCTTGGCGGGCGCAGCAGGCGCCTTGACGTTGTTGGAGAGCCAGGCCAGACCCTCGAGCAGGCCCTCGCCGGTCGTGGCGCAACTAGGCACGACAAACCATATCTTGTCGCTGAGCTTGTTGAGTTCGAGGGCGTCGGTGACCTCTTGGGGTTTCATGGCTATACGAGAGTGGCTGGTCAGTGATCTGCAGAGGTACCGAATCAAAGAGGCCCTCGGGTGCTCAGGGCCGAGTCTAGCGATCTTCCCGACTCACCATTGTCCAGGTCCTGCTTGTTGGCAAAGACCAACAGCAGACTGTCCTTCATTTCCCTGTCGTTGATGATGCGGTGCAGTTCCTGGCGTGCCTCTTCCATGCGTGCTCGGTCCGACGAGTCAATGACAAAGATCAGACCTTGGGTTCCTACGTTCCGGGTACTGCGTCAGTAATTCGTAATGTTAAGCGCGACCGTAACCGTAAGCGCAAATGGCTGGCTGGCCGGCCGACCGGTGGCAGTGGGCGCAGACATACCGCTGAAGTAGTGCCTCCACAGGGGCCTGATCTTGTCCTGTCCGCCGACATCCCAGACGTTGAACTTGACGTTTTTGTACGTAACAGTCTCAACGTTGAACCCGACAGTGGGGATAGTCGTGACATCCTGGCCGAGCTTCAGCTTGTACAGGATAGTGGTCTTTCCGGCGGCGTCGAGACCCAGCATCAACAGGCGCATCTCCTTTGATCCGAAGATCCTGCTCATCATCTTGCTCAGTTGGCCACCCATTGTGGCGGTCGGTCGGACTTGTTTGCCGTTGAGTGGGGTTGGACGGTTGTGGATGGTGGTGGCGGTGGTGGTGATATGGGCTCACGAAACGGGGGTATTGGCGGACCGGACTGTATCGAGGCGTGTCTGTAATGAGCGGAGCAGGTCAAGATTGGTCGGCGATGGCGGCGCGAGTCGAGGGACGTCGGGTGGATGTCGTGGGGTCTCTGATGGACAGGTAGGTATGTCGTGTGTATGTATGTATGTATGTGTGTACGTATAGAGTTACAGATGAAGTGACGGGTGGTGTGCAGTATGTATGTGTACTGGGTGAAGGTTACAAGGAAGATGGTTCAAAAGAGAGGAGGACAAATGAAGGTCGGCCGTTGGCGCAGGTCGGGAGCAGGACGACAAGCAGGACGGCGAGCAGGGAGACGGAGAGCAGGATCAGAGTGAACAGAAGCGAAGGGAAGCAATGGCCGTGTCCTCTCGGATAGGCAACGATGGGAAGAATATATCGGGGATTTGAAGTCGGAGTCGAAGTCGGAATCGAAGTCGGAGTCGAAGTCGAGGACGAGGACGAAGTCGAGGACGAGGTCGAGGTCGAGATCGCAAGGGAACGGGGGGAGGAATGGATCGGAATGGGTGGAATGGATGATGAACTTGGTTGATTGATGGTCCTGTCCTGTTGGGCAGTCGAAATTAGCATCAGCAAGAAGTGCCAATTGCAACAAAATCCAATTATTGGTCCCTTGTCCCTTGTCCCTGGTGACTTGTCCCTTGTCCCTTGTCTCTTGTCTGCGTGCGGACAATATCGCTATACCATACCCAGTGCTGCCAGTACCATAGTAATATCTATAACACCACTATGTAGATATGTACTGTATTGTCCCATGGATCCACGGATTCATGGATCCATGCCTGTACATAGATAGTATGCTGCCCAACTAATAAGGTATGGAGCGGGTCCATACGGATCGGTAATCGCAAATCGTCCGTGGTAAATTAGCTATTAGAATGGAGATATGCACGCACCTGACGACGGCCGAGATTGTCTCGTCTCTCGTCTCTCGTCTCCCTCCTCTCTTCTCTTGTCCCTCTTCCTCTCTTGCTCTTGTCCTCTCTTCTGTCCCCTCTGTTTCTAGCTCTCTAGGTATCTCTCGAGGTAGGATTGGCAATAGATTGTGTGCCGGTGTGGCCTCGTTTCCAATGATTGTTGTGCCAGTTTGGGTCAGTTGTCTTCTTTCTCTTGCTACCCGATGACCTTTCCGCGGATCATCTTCCAGCTTGAGCTTCGTGGTCGCGTACCAAATGTTGGCGCTGGCGTTGGCGTCGGCGTTGAGTTTCGGTTCGGGCTGATAACGCGGTAGTGCGACGTGACTGGCTGTTGCCCCTGACTTGACTGGATGGGGCCATAGGTACCTATCTAGGTACCTATATCATAAGTATCCAAGTACCAGGCATAGCTACCTACCTAGGTAGGTATGTAATCAGCGCAGGTATGAACTGCTAAGGTACCTCGCCCGGCGGGTTCCTGGCCGGGTACCTAATATAATACGGCCCCGCAGTCAGTTAGCACAGGTCAACTGCTGCTGCACCACAAGAAACTACCTAGGTACCTAGGTAGGTACCTACTGCACCCGCACCCGTGCATTCCAGGTTATACCTAGGTACCGGGGGGCGCGCCTGCAGGTGTGTATGTGTGTATCAAGGTGCTCTGTCTGTCACCTTCCCGTCACCAGCCTGCCAACCTGTCTGCCAACCTTGGAACGCTCCAGGGCTGTGTGTGTGTGTGTGTGTGCGTTTACATACATGCTCTGCGAAAAAGGATTTGCCCCACCTGTACGGAGTTCTCATGCACCGATACCGTGTTGCGTTATAACGACATACCTTGGTAGTTCCTTGCGGTGCATATATACGCCAAGTACCTCGTTATAAGTATAACGAAACTAAAGAGTATACCTGGATCATCATCAGGGAACTACGTAGGTAAGTATAGACTGAGCTATGAAAGAGATTAGATGAGAATGAATGCTGATTGAGCGTAGATAGCTGACAGACCAAGTCTTGGACTAGATGAACAAAAATTGACAAAAAATTGTGTCTGCCCCATGAATCGAACATGGGTTTCTTCGGACCGTCTGTTTCTCTCACGAGAACCACAACGAAGTGTACTAACCACTATACTAGGCAGACGATACTTCTGAGTATTTTGGGTAGCTTGAGTAGACGAAACACTTGACCAGTCCCGTGGCGGCACCACCTCACCATGTTCAAGCACGTATCCCACAGCCATTCCCTATTCATTGCCATACAAACCATCTTGTTTCCCAGGAGCCTGCTTGGCCAAATTGATATTTTATACTTGGCTTTCATCCGGTATCGCGCTTTCATATGAATAAGATGCATGGACACTGATTATCAATTATTGATTCCATTTCGCGGACTTTGACCATGAAACATCCACCACCCCCATACAGCTTTCCTTCCCGGGAGGCTGGAGCATAATACCCCGAACGAATAAATACAATTCCAAGAGCACCATTGTATGCATGTTGTACCGCAACTCCCATCCGTTCATCCCGCCCTAATCTCGATAATCCACCACAAACCTCCTCTCGACAACCTGCTGTGTTCCCGACTGCTCCTCGCCCTCGAACCGCAGGTTAACATTGCCCGTCCCTGCGTCCATCCCCGTCACCTCGGCCTTGTAGAATGTCGTGCTGTCTGGGTATAGCGCCAGCACCGTCTTGCCCTTCTCCAGCTTCGGTAGCTCCGTCGTAGGCGGCGGGATGGGGATCATGCCTGACGCGCTCATCTTGTACTCCTTCCTGGCGGGGGATGGCACGTCTGGGTCCTCGTCCTTGACTATATACCGCCGGCCCTTGCCCTCTCCTAGGACCTGCTTCACCTTGCCCAGGTACCACTCCGACGTGTCGTTGGGCGTGGGCGGCTTGGGCTTGAAGGCCACGTCCTGGTCCTTCGAGAACATCATCTTGGCCCGGATACTGGACCCAACCGTGGCCGATGAGAAGCTGTGCGCTTGTGGCTCTACACTCTCAGCTTTGGGTGTGTCGCGGTCTCGGTCTCGGTCTCGGTCTCGTTCTCGTTCACGGTCGCCTCCGCGAGGAGGAAGGCTGTCTCGATTGCCCGACTGGTCGCTGGAGGCCCCTCCGCTGCGCCCGCCGAGTTTACGGGCGTGACCACCGATGGGGCTGGGATGGGGACTGTCCCCTACACCGTCGAAGTCGTAGAGGTCTGCTTTGTCTTTATCCTTGTCCCTGTCCTTCTCCCTATCCCTATCCCTGTCCTTGTCTCTGTCCCTGTCCTTATCTCTGTCTCTATCCTTTTCTTTGTCTTTGTCCTTCTCTTGATCCTTGTCCTTAATCCTGTCCTTGTCGTCTTCTCGGTGGGCCTCACGCTCGCGATGCCGCTCCTTCTCGCGTTCACGGTCCCGTTCGCGTTCGCGTTCACGATCACGTTCCCGTTCCCGGTCTCTTTCCCGGTCTCTTTCGCGGTCACGTTCCCGCTCGCGCTCGCGCTCACGTTCGCGGTCTTTCTCCTTCTCCTTCTCCCTTTCCTTCTCCTTTTCCCTCTCCCGTTCCCGCTCCCTCTCGCGCTCCCGGTCAGCCTTGTCAGACTTGCTAGCCCGGCTGGAGCTGCGCCCTGCCCCGGAGAGGAGGCTCGAGGAGCGAGCCGAGGATCCTACGGCTGGCGCAGCAGCCTTCTCCTTGGCCTCCTGGATGCCCTTGAGGATCTCGAGGAAGCCAAGAACGTCGGCAATTTTTTTGGTGGTGGCATCGTTGATTTTGACACCGTCACGATACAGTCTGTCCAGCTGCTGCAGGGCCTGGGTGACAGAATCCCTGTCGACGTCATCCTTGGAGTCCTGGTTCGTATTCACGTAGCTCTCCTGGGCGGCGACCTGGCGGACGTTGTCGTTGCTCTGGTTGACCTCGTCTATGATGGAAGCGATGTCGTCCTGGATCTTCTGCCATAGATGGACCTCCTCGCCCTGGGCGCTGCTGTTGCGAGGGGGCGGCCTCGGGCGCTCACCGCGGCTTCTTTGCGACATGCCCCTCCAGCTGTCTGTGTCCTCGACCTCCCTTAGAAGTCTGTTCTCCGGATTAGTAAGACAGCTCAATTATAGACACCATGCGGGTGGGGCTCTGGTCGGGTTGGGACAGGGCCAGTCACAATGAGCCGAGTCAAGGATAACGATAAGAAAGCAGTAAGATGAGATGGGCAGGATAGCGAGGAGAGGGGATCAAGGAGAAGCAAAATGAGGTGAGATCGGATCTCAGTGACGGTGAACCGAGACTTCACCATTGGTTGTGGTGGAAAGGGGGGATTCATGCCGTCTGAACTGTTGCAGTCTCTCTGTTCGGCGCAAAGCATGGAGCGCACCTTCAGTTAGGAATCCAGTTGCTCAGCTCGTATAGTCAAAACCCAGGACGACTACCCAGGTAAGGTGTGGAATCAGGGTTTTGTATTGTGCGATTGATATATGTCGTGCGTATAGAACGAGCACCTATAGGTAGGTACCTAGATAGGTAAGGAGGTAGGGAGGTAGGCAGGTAGGTGTGCAGGCAGGCAGGCAGGTAGGTAGGTAGAGAGAGGAAAGGAAGGTAGAAGGAGGCTGTCACGTGGGAGAGAATGGATGTGATGTGATATTGATCTGATATGATGGCTGGGGGGGGGGGCAGGGGCACCTCTCGGTTCTCAGCTCCCTTCCTTAACAAAGGCCAGGGCTGGACATTTCCCGTCCAGAAGAGATGTTGTAGCAGTACCTTAGATAGGCAGTAGTTGTATCCTGGTAGGTATATGTAGGTAGAGGTCTAGGTAGGTCTGTACTTGTAGTAGGCTGATAGGCGGGAGGACAAGGCAGTATGGTAGGTAGTCGGTACGGAGTACCTAGGTAGACGTTGAGACGGATTTGAAATGGTGCGAACCAACCTTGAGCCGGAGGAAGACCGTTCGTGTCTAGACGGGGGTGGCGGCCTATTGGGAAGATTGTCATTGCGCCTGGAGGGTTGCCATGTCATCTCTTTCTTGGGGGGGACAACAGAAACAGAGGGCAGAGAGAACAAGGGATTGAAACCGGAACACGGGAACGCGGGACGGGAAGAATACCCAGGGTGAACCGTGAAGTCTGCCGGCAGATGTTCCAAAGTTCCAAGGTCTGGTCTGGTCTGGTCTGGTCCGGTTTGGTTTGGTTTGGTTTGGTTTGGTTTGATTTGGTTGTGTGATGCCGCGGCCCTCAATTGGACGGGACACGGTACGGTAACAGTACGGCAGGGTACGGAAACCTCAGAAGCTGACCGGCATATGTGTGATTGCACAAGTACGAAGTACCTGGGGGGGGGGGGTTGGAACGGGCCACAGGCACAGGATTAAGGATCGGGGATCAGGATTATGTTGCGCAGAGACGGGAAATGATACCGTTTGAGCTTTCCTAGTCGCGGGATCGCGGGTTGGTGGGCTGGGCTGGGCTCGGCTGGCTGGCTGGCTGGGCTGGTGCTAGGTTAGCAGGTTAGGTATGTGCTAAGTGTGCTTAGGTTGCTTAGGTGTGCTCAGGTGTGCTAATCGCTGAGCTGCATGTGCTGAGTTGCAGCAGGTGGTGGTGGTGGGGGGGGCTGGGGAGAGATATGCTGGGTTAGGTAAGTACGACCAAGCAGCCCCGCAACACGTAAACACCTACAGTAGGGCAGCACCTCACGGATCGATATGGTACATAGTACCTGCCTAGGTAGGTGCCTAGGTAGGTAATTGGCTGCGTGTTCAGTACTACCTGGGTACTACGCAGGTGGGTATGGTACCTACTATAATATGTATGTACCTTTCTCGTCAACGTCCCCGTGCCCTTGGTGGGGATTACTATCCCGTATAGGTAAAACATTTCCGGAGGTATACGCATGAATGTTTCAGTACTCTCACATCGCCACCTACGAAGACACATTGTAATGAAGGAGTTGCAGCTGCAGGTGCCGCCCAGTATCAAACGTTACTGAGAAGGAGTAGATACTTGACTGTTCTTTTCGTAGATGCCTAGGTACTTACTTACCTGGGTACCTAGGTACTTGGGTAGGTAACTCAAGAGAGTAACTCAAGTACCTACCTAGGTACTTACGTAGCTACTTAGTCCGCTGCTTGTGATGTCAGCTCCTCCATCCTTCCTGTCCCTCCCTGCCCTGGCCGTCCGTCTTCTTCCATAATAGTCTACATACTACTTTACCACATTAATCCTCCTCCCCCTCCTAAAACACCCCACGACACCTTCACCTCAGCACCTGAACACCGCTGCAGCCGCTACGCTTCTGCCACCTCTACGCTACAACGCTCGTACGTACCCATATACCAATACCGGCAAACGACACCCTTCACGGTAGAAGCTGGCCGGCTCGAGCTTTCCCAACCATGCAGGTGCCCCTGATCAGGCTACAATGTGGCATCAACACCTACGACTGGGGCAAGAAGGGCAACAACTCGGCCGCTGCCAGGTTTGCGAGCGCGACTCCGGCCCCTGACTTCTCGATCCAACAAGACCAGCCCTATGCTGAGGTATGTCTCATGTCTCTTGCTCGCTGTCTCTCGTATCTTGTTACTTGCCTCTTGTCACTTGCGATACACCATTGCACCATCAGAGGAGCTTGGCTGATACTAACACACTCCTCCCAGCTGTGGATGGGCACGCATCCTTCCAACCCTTCCAAAGACCTCACAACCGGCCGCACCCTCCTCGACCTCGTCGAAGACAACGAAGCCCTCCTCTCCCACTCAACCGTCGCCCGATATGGCAACAGGCTGCCGTTCCTCTTCAAGATCCTCTCCATCGATAGGGCGCTCTCCCTCCAGGCCCACCCCAACAAGAAGCTCGCCGAGCAGCTGCACGCCAAGGACCCCAAGAACTACCCCGACGACAACCACAAGCCCGAGATGGCAATTGCCCTTACCGATTTTGAAGGCCTGTGTGGCTTTAGACCCCCCTCCGAGATAGTACATTTCCTCGAGCACGTCAAGCCCCTACACCACTTTGTCGGCGTCGACACGGCCGATGAGTTCACCAGTACAATCAAGTCGCATCAAGACGACGAGTCGGACGAGGCGAAGGCCAAGAACAAGGAAGCCCTGCAGAAGCTTTTTGGCGCAATCATGTCAAGGCCTCAGTCCGAGCTGGAGACGGCGACCAAGGCTCT